GGCGCTCAGCAACCCCATTCTGCAGTGGGGAGTCCGGAAGAGTGAAAGTCTGGCGGATGCCGTGCTCCGCACAGTAGGCGGCCAGGAGGGCGGAGGAAAACTCACCACCCCTGTCAGAGTGCAAACGCAGGACAGGAAAGTCCGACTGGAACCGCTGGCGGAGCTGGAGACGAGCGGCGCGGATCCAAGGGATCAAAACATCAGGGACCTCACCCTTGGTGCGCAAGGGGAAGACCGTGGTGTAGCGCGTGTAGTCGTCGACGACCAGCAGGAAGTACCGCTCGTGGCCCTGTCCCCGGACGCGGGCCGGGCCCCACACGTCCAGGTGAAGAGTCTGCAGGGGAGCCTCTGTGGGAGGGAACGAGGAGGAGTGAGGGGTGGCGCGCTGCCGCCCCTCGACACAGGGAAGACATGGAGGAGCAGGCGAGGGTGGGAGGGGAGGGAGAACTCTGGGAAGACCAGAGACAAGGTACCGGGAGTGCATGCCACGAAGGCGCTGCACGGAGGGGTGACCAAGGCGGTGGTGCCAGAGGACGGTCTGGTGCGACAGGGAGCGACACGAGCAGGGAGCCGACAGCTGACCTGACGCAGACGCAGACGCAGACGCAGCTACCTAAGGGGTCTGGTCAGTGTGTACAGGTCGGACCCCGGCTGCCGAGTGAAGGTAGCCAGGTGGCGACCCGTCCGAGCACACGTACAATGGGTCACCCGCTCATAGGCAGGGGTGAACTGGTGAACACCCCCGTCCTGGAGAGCAGAGCCCGCCACCAAGTTCGTAGAGAACGAGGGGAGGTAGAGACCCGACAGAGTGCCAGACGGGGCCGCAGGACAAGGGAGAACAGTGGAGGAGGTCGCAAGGACCGGGCCCCCAGAGGGGTCAGCAAGGGAGACAGCAACAGGCCGAGCTAGCGGCTCAAGGACAGTGCGGTCACGAAAGAAACAGCGGGAAGCACCTGAGTCCAGTGTGAAAGTGTGCAGTGCCGCAGCAGACCCAGTACCAGCAGACGCAGACGCACGAGCACCTAGCGCAGCAGCCTTACCAGTACCAATACCTGGGTCGGGCGGCACACTCAGGTAACAGTCACCCTCAGCACTAATAGTCAATGCATACATGGCAGCAAGGATAGCATCATAATCAAGAGCAAAGACATCAATCCCCTTCCTAAGCAGATCAGCCCAGCGAGGCAGCTCAGAGGCGTCAGGGAACTGCTCGCGCCAGGCGTCGTCGAGGCGAGAGAAGCAGCGCTGTGCCGGGTGGAACCTCCCACAAGTCTGGCCAGCGCGGTCACCTGTGCGAATGACGTACGTGCAGGTACCCCCACCCCCAGACCCCCCACGCTGAGAGTACCTTTCACGGAGCTGCTGGGGCGAGGGAGTCTCGCCGGGACGCTGCTGCGGCTGCCTCTGGCCACCTCCGAACCCCCCACGCTGCACCGCTCCACCGCGCCCGCCACCCGCTCCACCGCCGCCACTACTGCCACCACCTCCCCCACCACCCCCACCACCGCCGCCGCCGCCACCACCCCCTGTGCCGCCACTGACCCCCCCACCATCCGCGCCACTCCCACTTCCGCCACCACCCCTGCCCCCCCCACCCCTTCCACCACCGCCGCCCCCGCCTCCACCTCCACCACCCCTGCCCCCCTTGCTCCTGCGGGTCGCCCTTGCGCCTCCCACTAGGGGTAGACGCGGCCCCGACTCCCTCAGCTCCGAGGTAGTCGACAGCAGCAGCAGATGCAATGGAGGGGAGGAGGGGGGAGGGGGAGCACCCCTCAAAGAAGGGGGTGCGTGGGTCACCACGAGAGGCACCTACAGCTACAATACTCTTCTCAGCTGCTAGGAGTTCCTTCTCGAGGAGGTCGACAGTGAGGTCAGTGGGGGAGAGAGCGAGAAACTGGTCCCTGACAGTGCGAAGGGAGTCAGGGAGGCGGGTGACAAGGTGGTACAGTGTGAGGTACATCGGGGGGGGGGGGGGGGGGGAAATCGGGGGGGAGCGCGGCACGGTAGCGGAGGTCACTGGTACGGAGGTGGGTGATGAGGTCAGCTACAGTGGCAAAGGCGGACAGGTCGGGTGTGAGAGTACTTAGGGCTTATGCTGGCTTTGCTAGCTTGCCTGGACTTTATTATGTTATTACTAGCTTAGCTTTATTTTATCTTGCATGCTTTTGCTTGATTTCCTAGATTCGTTGCCTTTACTATAGTTATTATAGTTGTAGGCACCGAACTAGGTTGAGTGCACCGAATTCTAGGCTTTTCGGTTGCCACCGAATTGCCTTCTACCGAATTCGGGAAGGACCCGTTCGGGACGCTTCGCGACCCGCGGAACCTTCTAGTAACACCCGGGTTACTGCCTTTGTGTCGAGCCTATATATAGCCTCGCCTTGTACCCAGGTGAATCATTCAATAGAATCATCTTTCCTGAACCAGATCCTCACATCGGGGAAGAGGTAGGGCAGTAAGAGGCGGCCTATAGCAGCAGTGGCAGGGGAGGAGTTGTTGTTCAGGATCCGTCACTTCGAGAGCTTACGACGAACTCAATTCTCAACTAAACGCAAATCCGCTCGGTAGGATGTTGCGCCTTAGGCTTAGCTACCATCTCCAATTTGAATCACTTAAAAAGATGGTCTATAGAGTGAGAACCAATTGAAAACGTCCAGCTGCTGCATGACTAGAGTGGTAGAGAAGGTACAAGCATTAAGGCATAGGAAGTTGGAGTTGGGGACCTCCAAGAGAACCATGAGAGGGAAGGGGTTCTCCAAGAGCTAGGGAAGGATGGTAGGAACCTTCCTAGCAGCAAGGATGCAACCCTCATCATGAGGTCCTTGAGGTGTCACATGCAAAATCCAATCTAGTTGGATTTTGCCTAGGTGTTGCAACATTTGCAACTCATGCTAGAAACTTCTAGCCACCCCAATCCAAAAGTCAAAGTTGCCTTCCTAACCACCCAACCAAAGATCACTTTAGAGTCATGACCCAATATCACCCAATGTAGATAATATCTCAAAATGAGATAGAATTCCCAAAACTTGGAAATCTTGTAACTTGGGCGATCTTGGTCGGAATAAGGCGATCTTGGTATCGTTGGAAAGCTCTGGATTTCTCCTGCATGATAAAGCATGTAGACTTGGAGAAAAACACAGAGATGATAATATCCAACAGCCATGCACAATAACATATGCTCATGCAAACAATGCACGCATGAATAGCACGAGCACTCGGCAGGACGTTAGGATGACATGCACTCAAAATGACGTGCATCCAACAGGAGTAGCGCGCGACTACTGCGTCGTACAGCTCTTTAGCGGTCTTATGCTGGCCAAAGTGCTCGCGCTCATCTAACGGCAGGTGGCTGCGAACGGCTAGGCGAGCATGAGCGTCACGGGTCTGCCACTGTGAGCGCAAAGTGCTATCAGCATCAGCAGCAGGTGCGGGAGCGGCGCCGGACGTGTGGTCATAAAGGGAAATATCGTCCTTTGAGTTTATCTGAAGGTAGAGGTGAAGGTCATCGAGCCAAACATCGAACTTAATCGGACGGCCCTCAGCGTCAAAAGTAAGAACTGTAGGACTGGCCATAGTGGCAGTAGCAGCAGTAGGAACAGGAGCAGCAGTAGCAGTAGTAGCAGTAGCAGTAACAGAAGCAGCAGGTGCTGCAGGTGAGGCACAGAAGGGCGGCGCGGCTCGGGCAGGATGGCGCGGCCCGGGCAGGACGGCGCGGCGCGGCTCAGTCAGGGAGGGTGGGCCGGCGCGCGGTCTGTGGTTGTGCGAGGCGGCGGCCTACGCGCGGGCGGCTTACGGCGGGCGGCGGGCTGGCGCGGGCGGCGGCCTAAGCGCACGAGGCGGCGGCGCGCGGCGGTCGACGAGCAGCTCGCGGGTTGCGCTAGAGGCCACGCGAGGCCAGGGCGGGCTGCGCGTGGGCGGGGTCGACGGCGCGGGCGGCTAGCGGGTCGCGCGCACGAGAAAAGAGCCGCGCGCGAGCGGCTAGCGGGCTATGCGCTCGAAAAACAGGCCGCGCGCGCGGGCGGCTAGCGGCTGCGCACAGGCAGCGTAAGAGGAAGGGGCGCGCGAGGGCGCACTAGGAACGAGGCGCACGAGGGCGCAAGTAAGGGACGTCGCACGAGGGCGCTTCGAGCGGAACGGTGGGCCCTTAGGAACTAACGGTCCTAGGTTCCTAACCTAGGCTCGTAATACCATGTCAGAATGAGAGAAGTGTTTGAACTATGAAAAGATGGGAGTACAAGTATGAAACCCTAGAATTGTGTACCCCCTAAAGGCTAACCCACTGTAGCCTAAACTACAGCAATAACACAAGTATATTGTTTGACAGAAACATATTACAAGGCACTCTCAGGCTGAGTTTCGGCTCGACAACTTGTGTTCGACAACCATAACGGTGACATTTTCCATCGTTTTTTTCACAGACATGCGAATAAAAAACCCAATTTGTTGAATTTTGTTTCCGGCCATAGAAATGTGATTGCATATTCACATGTCTCATAGTCTAATGCACCCTTAGGCCGATTTTCGGCACGAACTGCGCACAAACTTGTGTTCGACAACCGTAACGGTCACATTTTCGGCCGATTTTTGCACAGATGTGCTGTTAAAAAACCCCAAGTTGTGGAATTTGGTATTGTACCATACCATACCATTATGGTTGCATATACACATGAAACATATTCTAAGGCACTCTCTGGCTGAGTTTCGGCTCGAAAAGCGCACAAACTTGTGTTCGACAACCATAACAGTGACATTTTCCACCTTTTTTTCACAGACATGCGAATAAAATACCCAATTTGTTGAATTTTGTTTCCGGCCATAGGAATGTGATAGCATATTCACAAGACCCCACTGTTTATCGTATGGTAACTCTAGGATGTTTGCACCCCACTGTTCCAACACCTCATATTGCTTGCGAAATGCAGTGGCAAAATGATTCAATGTCCAGCAAAATGTTGGATCATGCCGAATGGGCGGCTTTCTCGTGTGTTGGTACGTGCGCCTCACTCGTCGCGCAGCCCTTTGGCCTGCCACAATTTGCACAGCCGTGTCATTAGGGTCTGCGATGTGGCCACTTCCGTCTTTCCCGCTGTTACTTCCCTCGTCATCATCTTCACATAACGCATTGGCCGGGCCCAATTCCTCCCGGCGCCGCTTTTGCCATAGGCGTTCACTGTAAGGCAATAACAAAATTGAGGTGGACACGGTGGTCAGCGCTGAACAAACAAAGATGACGGTTACACAATGGCATTCGTCAGTCCTCGCTACACACCTAGGTGTGAGGCGACGTCGTGGTGCAGTACGCATACCGTCAGCGATGCCACTTGCCAAGGTGTTGAGTGCCTTACTGTTGAGGGGAGTAAGCGAATAGCAGAGGTGAACAGGCAAGAGAGGCACGGATAAAGGAGGCGATCACCTCCAAAGAGCACAGCAGAGGCGTCCGGCCAGTGAGAATGGTGGTGGGTGAGGCGTGAGATGAGGGAACTAAAGCGTGTTGGAAAGAGAAGCAGCAGCGTGAGGGGGAAGGAATGGCAACGAGCGGGGGAGGGAATGGAAGCGTGCGGAGGAGGGAAGGGAAGGGAAAGGAAGGGGACAAAGGGAAGGAAAGGGCACCCGAAGCAAGGGAAGGGACTGGAGCGGAGAGGATGGGAGGGAATGGCAGGGTAAGCAGGGGATGGGCCGGGAAGGGATAGGACAGGAAGGGTTTGCTGAAGGTAAGGAAGTAAGGGGTTACGGGTTGGAAGGGACAGAGTTGATGAACACTAGATGCATAGGGAACGGAAGGGAAGGGAGGGGGATGGAATGGAAGCGTTAGGGGAGGCGGGAGAAATAGAAACGTGCAGTGGAGGGAATGGAAGCGTGAGGGGGAGGGAATGGAAGTGTGAAAGAGAGGGAGTGGAAGCGTGAATGGGGAGGGATTGGAAAGGAATGGGAGAGAAACGGAGGGGTGGGAAGAGAAGGGAAAGGAAGGGAAGGAGACATAATGAAGGTAAGGGCACCCGAATAGTGGGAAGGGACTGCAAATCGTAGGATGGGAAGAGAATGGCAGGGTAAGCAGAGGATGGGAGAGGAAGGGATAGTAATGGAAGGGAAGGGAAGGGGTGGGAAAGCGGGGAAAGGGCAGGGATATGAAGGGTATGGAAGGGAAGGGACGGGAAAAGCGAGAAGGGAAGGAGATTGGTTCAGGGTTGGAATGGATGGGAGAGGATGAGCACAAGTGAAAAGGGAACAAAAGGGGAGGGAAGGGAAACGTGAGGAGGATGGAATGGAAGCGTGGGGGTAGGCGGGAGAAATGAAAGCGTGCAGAGGAGGGACTTGAAGCGTGTGGGGGAAGGAATGGAATCGTGAGGGGGAAGGTATGGAAGCATGAGGGGAAGGGGATGGAAGCGTGAAGGGGAGGGAAAGGAAAGGTGAGGGGGGGGGAATAGAAACGTGAGCGGGAGGGAATGGAAACATGATGGGGAGGGAATGGAAGCGTGAAAGAGGGGGGGGAGAAATGGATGCGAGCAGGGGAGGGAATGCGAGCGTGAAGGAAGGGGGAGGGAGGGGGGGGGGGGGAGATGGAAGCGTGCGGGGGAGGGAATGCAAGCATGAAGGGGGGGAGGGGGGCCCGTGCAGGGGAGGGAATGCAGGCGTGAGAGGAGTAGGGAGGGGTTAGAGGGTCACCCGAGGAGCAGCAGTGAGTTTTTTCGGTTGTATTGACGGACAGACAAGGGGAGGGATCTGCGCACAGCAAGTGGCGGGACAGGGCCATGCAGGATGTTTCCAGAGTGGAGCATCAGGGAATGGAATGGTGAGGGAAGTAAGTGTGGTGTGAGGGAAGAGTGAGGGAAAGGTAGGGGAGGAAGCGTGGGGGAAGGGAGTGGAAGCGTGGGGGAAGGGGAGTGGAAGCGTGGGGTAAGGGGAGTGGAAGCGTGGGGGAATGGGAGTGGAAGCGTGGGGGAAGGGGAGTGGAAGAGTGGGGGAAGGGGAGTGGAAGCGTGGGGTAAGGGGAGTGGAAGCGTGGGGGAATGGGAGTGGAAGCGTGGGGGAAGGGGAGTGGAAGCGTGGGGGAGAGGGAGTGCTAGCATGGAGGAATGGGTGTGGAAGCGTGGGGGGAGGGGAGTGGAACCGTGGGGGAAAGAGGGAGCTAGCGCACAGGACGGGGTGTGAACGCGTTGTGCGGGGAGATAGGAAGAGTCTAGCGTGACATTCGACTTTTGAGCTGACTCAAAAGGTGACTTTTGAGTCGACTCAAAAGTCATTTTGAGTCGACTGGGAAGGGGCGTGGACGCGTTGTGCGGGGAGATAGGAAGAGTCTAGCGTGACATTCGCATGACGTGGGGAAGATCAGCGCTCGCGAAAACAGGGCACTGGACGGCGCTGTAATAAGGGCAGATCAGGGTGAGGAAGCTTACGGCTGATGCACCTCATGTAGGAATCTAGATTCCATGGGCTTTTGGTTTGTGTTTTCGGTGGCATGCGTCTCGCCTAGTGTGCGGAGTGATGAGCCCATAGGGTGCCGGTATGCATAGGGCAGGAGGGGAGAGGGCAAAGCGAGGGGACAAAGAGGGGGATAAGTGAGGTAGGAGCGGGAATGGAAGTAAGCAGGAGCAGACGGGGAAACGACGGGTTGCGTAGGGTGGTGTGTTGGATCCGCCGCGGCCGAAATATGGGGGATGACGCCACCTTTGCTCTCGCGGTAGAATCTGAGCTGTTACCGTCGAGTATCAACAGGGTGGTGGAAGGGGAAGGTGGTATAAAAAAGGGGAAGGAAGGTGACTCTGGGAAATTTGTCCCGTGGGTGACGGGAAGGGAGGGAGCGTGGGCGACGGGAAGGGAGGGAGCGTGGGCGACGGGAAGGGAGGGAGCGTGGGCGACAGGAAGGGAGGGAGGGTGTTCAACGGGAAGGGAGGGAGCGTGGGCGCCGCGATCCTTTTTCTTTCGGTCGAGCGGGATCAAATTCTGGGCACTCCGCAGAAGTGTGAGACGTATATGTCTTGTCAACGTTTATTTCGGGGCAGTGCTACCCACACATAGTTTGTATGTGCCATCACGCTTGTCATGTTGGAGGCCTTGACCCCGCGATAAATCACTGGTACAATCGATGGTCCCACTCGATGAGCACAACTGAAGTTCCGTTCGTGTGAGACCATCCCTCATTTCGGAGACGACGAAGACGAAATCATTCCGATGCGCCGACGGGCGATCGGAAGAGGGAGCTAATTAGGAAATAGGGTGTAGTATGTGTGGCGCGCTCACCTTAGTCGTTCTACCAGCGCTACACTTGTGAAACCGCCTCTGCCATGTCCCGAGTCTAGAGTAGGTCGAGGTGGTCGTGGGTGTTTTTGTGTACGCCGCAGCTCACGAGGTTCTGTGACTGACTGGGTGAATTGTACTCGCCGTGAGGGATGTTGTGTGTGCGAATGGCTGGTCGCATGTGTTGGACTTTACGACAGTCGCGAAGTTGGCTTGGTTGTGTTGCCGAAATGTGGCTAGTGCGCGAAATTCGTCACCCCCCAACCCCAAGCTTCAATTTCGTCAACCAATCCGGTTAGGGGGTCAACCATCAACTGCAAAACATGGGCCCGCCCATGCTGCCCTGGTTTACATGAGACCCTGGTTTAAAGGAACATGGGCCCGCCCATGCTGCAGCGCAAAATGCGCTATCTTTTTTCGTTGCCGCCGCGCCCTACGCCCGTCGCGCTCGTCGCCCTGCGCTCTGCCCGTTCTGCCTGTCGCGTCCCCCGCTCGTCGCGCTCCTCGCCCTTCCCGTCGTCCGTGCAAGCGCCACCGCGGAGCACCAGCGCCAGTGCCAGCACCTGCGAATGCCGCCAACGCCAGCACCTGCGACCAGCGCCAGCGCCAACGCCAACGCCTGCGACAATGCCAGCGCCAGCACCAACACCTGTGCCAACACAAATGACGGCATCAGCGGTGGCAGCAGCTAACTGTCAGAAATTGGCAGCACGAATGAATGCATTGAGCATAAACAGAGTACAAGTAGTTGTCAGAATGAGCAGCAGGAATGACTGAACTATGCAACACTTTGGTACAAATACTAACCCTAAACTGGGTTGTACCCTATATGGGCTACCCCACTACAGCCTACACAACACAATGTTCTGACACACCCCCATAGGCAAGGTGGGGGAGCACAAGTAGTCACAGACAAGCAAAGCAAGCTCAGGGTGGATCACGAAGTCACCACACGGCCAGTTCACATGCATAGGTATATAAGAGAGAGCAAACAGTACAGTGATCACTACCTAGCAAGTGTAAGCATGCAGGTATATATAAAGATCACAGTACAAGCAAAGTCAAGCAGTGAGCAAGTGAGAGAAAGCAGACACGAGCCCTAAAGTAGTGCAGTGAATATATCAGCTGTGTTGGCCCGTGTGTCCACGTAAGCAAGGCGAAGCTGGCCACGCTGCTGCAGCTCTCGAGCAAGGAAGTAACGCAGAGCAATGTGCTTCGTTCTGTGCTCCAGTCTGTGCTCCTGACACAAGGCAATGGCGGCCTTGTTGTCAACGTACAGAACTAGAGGAGAACGAGGCCGCTCTCCCAAGTCGGTCAGCAGGTAGGTGAGCCAGCGTACCTCCTGTGCAGCCATGGCTGTGGCGTAGATCTCAGCCTCACAACTGGATCTGAGAACGGAAGAGGAGCGATTAGAACGCCAAGAAACAGAGCCGGAGCCAAGGCTGAAGGTGTAACCCTGTGACGACTGCTGTGTAGCCAGGTCGTCAACCCAAGAGGCGTCTGAGTGTACAGTGCGGACAAAGTCACTCCGTCCTCAAAGCACCAGCCCCATGTCTCATGTACTGCACAAGTAGCGTGACACCCTCTTAGCAGCCTCCTAGTGCTCTCGCCGGTGTCTCCCAGGTGCAACGTAGCGAGCCAAGATGCTAAGAGGGTACGCAAGGTCAGGTCATCAGGTACATGAGGCAGCCCACAAGCTCTGGATACGGGCCACTCGACTCTACGGACTCATCCGAAGGCAGAGCTGAGAGCGAGTGACTGGTAGGCAGAGGAGTGGACTGTGGTGAGGAGAACTAGAAGCCGAAGCGCTGAAAGACCTGCTGCACCATGTGTGACTGAGTCAGGGTGATGGTGCGGCGTGCTCTGTCCCGGGTGATCTGCAAGCCAAGGTAGCTGCGCAACTCACCCAGGTCAGTGCAGGTGTTTCTCTTCTGCAGCTCCGACTTCACAAGGGCAAGTGCCTCAGTGTCAGCAGTGGCAAAAACCAAGTCGTCGATGTACACGAGGATGTAGAACGGTGGCAGCGAAGTGTCGGTGCGCAGAAACAACGACGGGTCAGCAGTGGACGGAGCAAACCCGAGAGCCGCAAGTGTCGTCCTCAGTGTGTCGTGCCACTCACGAGGTGCCTGGCGGAGACCGTAGACTGGCTGCCGGAGGCTCCACTGGGTACCAGCAGGAAACGACCCAGTAAAGCCAGGTGGGCGGCGCAGCCAGATCTCCTCGTGCAGGGTGCCCTGCAAGAAAGCTGTACTGAAGTCAAGAGAGTGAAGCTCGTAGTCACGCAGAGCGGCAACGTGCAACAACACCCGAAGAGTGGTCATCTTCGGGGTGGGGGAGAAGGTCTGGAAGAAGTCAACTCCCTGTCGCTGACTGAAGCCTCGAGCAACGTAACGAGCCTTGAAGACAGGCGGAGAACCCGGCAGCCGCTTCACCCTGAAAATCCACATGCCATCGACTATGTTCGCCCCAGGAGGGGGAACTGCATCGACGTAGGTGCCTGTGGACTTCTAGGATGCCATCTCTGCGTCCATGGCTGTCTGCCACTGAGAGGAGTAAGGACCCGTGATCGCCTCTGCGTAAGAGCGCGGGGTCGGGATGTCTGGTGCATCCGGGTCTCCCTCAAGGGCAAGCAGTCAAGCCGTGAGATGAGGTACAGCAGCCGCAAGACACTCAAAGTCCTCCTGCCTGTCCTCAAGGACGTCCGTGCCAAGAGCACACTCACCCCCGATGGACGGAGGACAGACAGACTCAGACTCATCGACAAGACTGGCAGCGTAGTCTAGACGACACGCAGCAGCAAAGTCCACAAGCTCAGCAACTAAGGCAGACGCAGCAGCAGACTCAAACAACGGGTCAGTGACAACTATAGCCAGAAGACGCGTGACAGTAGGGTGAGCAGCACGAACACGGTCAGACTCAGGGTCCGGAACGTGCGGAAGAGAGGACGCAGGAGGAGACGGCAGGGGGACGCGCTGGGGAGCAGAGGAAGGACGAAGTGCCATAGTGTGAGTACCTGGCATAGGAGGAGGACGCGGACGCGGGACTCGACGATCACGGGTAGCAGTGCGAGCAGGAGAGACAGGACAAGACGCAGGCTCACGACGCTCTGTAAGGGAGACCGGCTGCTCAGTGTAACGAGACGGGGCAGGTAACGGTGAGCTCGGAGGTAGGACAGTAGACGAAGGAAGACTAAGAATCTGACGGAGCACCGACTCAGGCGGTAGCTCGGACAGCTGTGGCGGCGGCAAGAAGAACGGTCGCTGCTGCACAGTACCTCCAGCTCCAGCACCTCCAGCTCTAGCGCCACCAGCGTCGGCGCCTCCAGCTCAAGTGCCCCCGGATCGAGTACCTCCAGCTCTAACGCCTCCAGCGCCAGTGCCTCCAGCTCCAGCGCCTCCAGCTCCAACGCCTCCAGCGCCAGTGCCACCAGATCCCAAGCCCGCAACACCACCAGCTCCGGCAGGTCTAGTACCAGCAGAACCACCAGCCCCGGCAGCTCTAATACCTCCAGTACGAGCACCCCCAGGACCTGCAGCTCCAGCTACAGAGTCACCAGCTCCAGCGCCTCCAGCTCCAGCGCCTCCAGCTCCAGTGCCTTCAGTACCTCCAGCTCCACTAGGACCTCCAGCACCTCCAGGAATAGCAGCTCCAGGACCTCCAGCTCCAGCGCCACCAGGACGAGCACCTCCTGGACCAGCAGTGCCAGCACCACCAGCACCTCCAGCACCAGCAGCACCACCGGCCCCGGCAACTCCAATACCTCCAGTACGAGCGCCTCCATGACCAGTAGCTCCAGCTCCAGAGCCTCCAACTCCAGCGCCTCCAGCTCCAGCAGCGCCACTCTTAAGGCGGGAGCATCGAGCAAGCCACTCACGCAGCTGCTGTGGTGAGAGAGGCTCTCGCCGACTAGACTGCGGTGGCGAGGCACCTGTAGGACCTCCAGGACTAGTAGCTCCAGTACCCCCAGTACCTCCAGCTCCAGTAGGACCTCCAGTACCAGTAGCACCATCAGCCCTGGCAGCTCCAGTACCTCTAGAACTAGCACCTCCAAGACCAGCAGCGCCTACGCCAGACTCAGCACCCCCAGGCTCCGCACCCGCAGGCTCAGCACCCCCAGGCTCCACACACTCAGGCTCAGCACCCCGAGGCTCCACACACTCAGGCTCAGCACCCCCAAGCTCCACACCCGCAGGCTCAGCACCCCCAGGCTCCGCACGCTCAGGCTCAGCACC